TATACTTGAGTGCAGGTGCATGTGGAGGTCAGAAGAGGGCACCAAATCCCCTGAGCTGGACTTAACAGATGGCGAACTGCCAGATGTGGGTGCTGGGACCTGAAATCTGGTACATTTAACCCACGAGCCATCTCTCCAGCCTATTCTCACAGCTTCTCTTTAAAACCTAATCAGCTAAGCCGGGCATGGTGGCTCATGCCTGTAGTTCCAGCACTTGGGAGGCAGAGGCAGGTGGATCTCTGTGAGTTCCAGGCCAGCCTGGTCTACACAGTGAGTTCCAGGCCAGCTGGGACTACAGGGAGACCCTGTTTCAAAAAGACCAAAACAAAACAAAACAAAACAAAACAAAACAAAAATCCACCTAATCAGCTAAAAAGTATTGTAATGAATATCATAAACTGCTCATGGTAAAAAGATTTATTTTTGCTGTTTTCTCTGCCATTTCTTTCTTGAATTTTTTGTTTTGGTCTTTTTGTTGTTGTTGTTGTTTTGAGACAGGGTCTCTAGGTAGCCCCAGCTGGCCTGGAATTTACTATGTAGACCAGGCTGGCCTTGAACTCACAGAGATCTGCCTGCCTCTGCCTCTAGAGTGTTGGGATTAAAGGCGTGTGCCACCACGCCCAACTCCTTGTTGGATTTTACCAGCAGACATCAAATTCCCATCCTCATTCCCTCCTACTGGAAGCGGTCTACTGTCCCTGAGACTAGCATGTTGAGCATTTCTGTGAGAAAAGTTTTGGTGAGCTGAGTGGTAAACTGTAAAGCACTATTTAAACAAAGTGGTCATGAACATGATAAACACGAGGTAAAGTATAGAATTAAAAGGGCTGGGGATGTAGCTCAGTGGTGGAGTACTCATTGAGCATTCATGAGGCCCTAGGTTCAATCCCTAGTACAGGAAAAAAGAATTAAAAGTAAACCTCTAAGTGGCTGGAGACATGGCTCAGTGATTTCTGCTCTTCGAGAGGACCAGAGTTCAGTTCCAGTGCTCATTTCAGGTGGCTCACATTGCCTGGAACTCCAGCTCCAGGTGATCCTCTTCTGGCCTTGGAAGTCACCTGCACATTCATGGCGTACACCTTCCTACCCCCTACCACCCCACACCCATAAATAAAAGTTTTTTGACAGGGTCTTCCTAGCCCCGGCCTGCCTGTAACTCACTACGTAGACCAGGCTGGTCTCAATGCCAGCACCCACATCAAGGGATCTGATGCCCCCTGGTGGCACCCACACACATGTGCACACACGCATAAATTAAAAAATATATTTTAAAAAAGCCAGACATGGTGGCGCATGCCTTTAATCCCAGCACTTGGGAGGCAGAGGCAGGTGGATCTTTATGAGTTCAAGGTCAGCCTGGTCTACATAGTGAGTTCCAGGCCAGCTGAGGCCACAGGGAAACACTCTCTCAAAAAGACTATATATTATTAAAAGACAATATATATTAAATATATATTAAAAAAAGAGGGGCTGGAAAGGTGACTGAGCATTAAGAACACTGGGCGTTCTTATAGAAGACCTGGGTTCAGCTGGTGGCGAATAACCATCTGTAACTCCAGTTCCAGTGGCCTTTGCATGACACAGGTGCACTTACATACATGAAGGCAATACACTCATAAAAATAATAAAATAAAATTTTAAAAAAGAGTAAAGCCAGGTGTGGTGGTGAACACCTTTAATCTCAGCACTTGGGAGGCAGAGGCAGGTGGAGCTCTCTGAGTTTGAGGCTAGCCTGGCCTGCATAGTAAGACCTTCTCTTAAAAGATTTTTAAGAAGTAAACCTCTGGGAGTCACTTTCTCCAGTGGTCTAGCCACTGACAAGTTGCTGGTGCTCCAGTAAGTAACCTCCCATGGATCACACAGGAAAGGAGGGTAGGATAGAGGGGAACTTGCTGGGAAGGATTTCAGTGAGGGCAGGGAGGACCCATGAGAGAGGGGGTTGGGGGTGAAAATAACTGAAATTCATTATATACATATATGAAAATGTGCAAGAATTTTAAAAAGTCAACCTCTATTCTCACCTTTCCCTTAATCTCCCTCCTGGGATGGAACCCGTTTCCCACCCTTGTCTTTCTTTCCTTATACTTTTAATTTGTTGTAATATAGCATAGACACTTGGTGTCCTAGTTTCATTTCTGTTGCTGCGATAAAACACCGTGTAAAAAACCACTTAAGAGAGAAGGGGGTTTATGTGCCTTACAATTCCAGGTTTCCATCCATCATTGTGGGGAAATCCAAGACAGGAATCTAAACAGCTGTCACATCACATCCACAGTCACGATCAGACAAGAATGAATGCATGCGTGCTCAATTGCTTGTGTTCAGCTCCATTTCGCCACTCTTGTGCAGCTCAGGACTCCCTGCCTAGGGGATGGTGTCACGCATAGTGCACTGGGTCTTCCCACATCAGTTAACTTAAGACACACACTCCAGACACATCCACAGACCAACCCAATATAGACAGTCCTTCATTGAGACTCTCTTCCCAGGTGATTCTAGATTGTGCCAAGGTGAGAATTAAACCTAACCATCACACATGGGAAGATGTGTTTATTTAAAAAGGTATGTTTACAAAGTACCACCATGCTGTACTGGTGACTGAGGTGGAGCTTTCCATTTGGGTATTTGGTCTTCACTTATCTATAGGAATCAACCTAGCACTTCACTTCAAGTATGAGTAGACCACCATCGTGGACCCCCACCCCAGCCCTAGCCCCGGATATGCCTACAAAATTAACAGCAAAATTGAGAAGGACCAAGATGAACAGAAAACTGAGAAAATAATTCAGGGAACTGAAAGTCTTAAAGCGCTGACCCATGTCTCTAAATTCCTGACCGCTGAAACCTCAGTGGGCCTAGACTGCTAGTCAGCAATTGCCCTTCTTTTTCCCTTTCCCTTCCCTCCACTCCTTCCTCACGGATGGTCTCACATCTGACCTCAACGACCGCCCCCCCTCCCCAGCTCACCTCTGGTGATCACCTCCCTCTGTACTTCCTAGAGGATTAGAAGAGTCAGAAGAGCATCTTCCTGATACCCTACTCCCAGCTCTTCCCTAATCACCTGATCTGGTACCCAGACTCTCTGTCTTCATCCACATCATTAGGGGATAATTGTCTCTACTCTTAGCTTAACTTCTGCTATGCCCCAGGGCCCATCCTATCTCTCCTTAAGGACATGGCTCCCACTTTCCTGAGTCATAATTTATTCCTCCCTTCCTACCACACTTATATGCATACAAGCATGCTCTTTCTTTTCACATGCTTAAAAAACCAAACCAAACCAATTTTGGCTTGATGGCATACTTCTAATCCCAGCACTCTGGGAGGCTGAGGCAGGAGGGTGTGAGTTCAAGGGCTTCCTGGGCTACGTAGTGAGATCCTCAAAAAACCAACCAACCAACCAGCCAACCACTCTCAACCCTGCCCCCTGCTTTCTCCCCCAGCCTCTGCTTTTCTTCTGTCCTATGCAAGTAAACTTCTTGAAACATTTGTCTATATTTTTTTTACTCTAATTCCTCACCTCCCACTGATTCTTAAGAGCTTTTACCATTCTACAAAAACAAATCTCATCAAGATCAACGGTGACTCTGTCACTAAATCATAGGCCAATTCTCAGGCCTCCCTCAGCTTTTCTTCCCTGAAGTTCTGTTTCCACTTGGCACCTGCCTTCCCTGCTTCCCTGATTTATTCCCACCTCATCAGCCGTTCTCGCCCCACCCCGTTTCCTTCTCCTCCAGCTTCCCACTCTCCTGAGACTGGAGTCTCTAACGCTCAGCTCTTGGACCTCCTTTTGACCTGTGTTTTCAGAATTTCTTGTTTTATATTTATTTCTTCTTTTGCAATTTCATATACACACATATACGATGTACTTTGATCATACCCCCCATTATCTTCTTAGTCCCCTCTCTTCCCTCCAATCCCCCTTTCCTTCCCACCAAGTCCCCCTCCTAGTTCATGTCTTTTGTGTGTGTGTGTGTGTGTGTGTGTGTGTGTGTTCTCCGCATTTAATTAGGGTTGCTTGTATGAGCATGAGTGGGGGTTATTTATCTGAGCACGGAGAAAGGGGAAACCTACTAGTAGCTACATTACTTAGGAATATGACTCCAATCCCCAGCAATCATTAACTGCCAGGAGTTCCTCAGGGAGGGGTGGCGCTTCATGAGCCTCTCCCCTGAGTTAAAAAAAAATTAACTCGGGGTGTGTGTGTATGTGTGTGTGTGTGTGTGTGTGTGCACGCACACATGCATGAGTACAAGTGCCTGCAGAGGCCAGAGGTTAGGATTCTCTTGGAACTGGGCTTATAGGTGGTTGTGCGCTGCCTGATATGAGTGCTGGAACTGAACTTGGGTCCTTTGTGAGAACAGTATGCATTCTTTACTACTGAGCCATCCCTGGAGTTCCCTTCCTTCCGTGTTCCTTTCATCTATTTTCCTTCCTTCCTTTCTTTTTTCTTTTTTGTTTTTTTGAGACAGGGTCTCCCTGTAGCCCCAGCTGGCCTGGGACTCACTATGTAGACCAGGCTGGCCTTGATCTCATGGAGATCCTCCTGCTTCTGCCTCCTGAGTGCTCGGATTAAAGGCATGTGCCACCAGGCTAGGCCTTCACATGTGAGACTATATATGAGATTTTAGGGAACATATGACTTGATGGGGTATAGGACTCAGTGGAAGGGAGTCCTTGGGAGTGCAGGGGACCACAATTGGGAATATATTTGACCCCACAGCCATCAGGAATGAGGCGCTTCTCAGTTACTATGTCTTCAAATTCCCCACTTCTTTGAGATGTGAATCTTCTGGCGGCCAGGGAACTTGAACTTAGCTCTACACAGGGCTTCAGTCACATGTTCCTTATTCTGCAACTTGGTGGGGGTGGACACAATGACCTGGCCAATGTGAACCCTGGCCACTTGCGCCCTAAAGGCTTCCCAAAGGCACCCTGCATACCTGTCTGAAGCATAGATTGAGGATAGCATTGATAACAGACACGGATATCCACCAGAAACCTGTTTCCAAGTTCCCTTAGTCTAGCCTGTACATGCAATGGGCTGCATACACTACCCAAGAGGTTGCTGTTTGCAGTCACTGCACACCAGGCCCCATGAGGAAAGGTACCTGGTCAACTTAATTGGGTGCAGATTGCTCACTTTTTATGAGATGTAAATCTTCTGCCTTATTATTTAGTAAGCCTCTCTGTCCACCAGCCTCAGTCTGTCTGCCCTGACCACTGGGATGCCCACCACGGTCAGCTATGGAGCCTCTGCAATGTCCAAACAGGGATCCAGATAATCTACTTGTCTTAGACTATGGATTGGTTCATCTTGGGTCTGGGTGCTACTTCTGGTCACATTACCTCTGGCTGAGGAAGGGAGCGAAGTTACAAAAGCTTCTGAAGTGTCGGGCTGCCCCCCAGGCCTGCAGAGAAGACACGCAGCTTCTTGATGAAGGCACTGGTCATGTGGAGGACATTGAACCATCTGCTGCCTTCTAGATCTGCGTGTTACATTCCCACAGAACAGTTTTTACTGGACTGAAGAAGTGAGGACATTTGATAAGGGTTTTGCGAATATGAAAACTAAGGGTCAACTTTGGGTTCATGGGCCAGTTATTGGTTCATTAATTTCCACCACATTAACTTCCTTCCTTCCTTCCTTCCTTCCTTCCTTCCTTCCTTCCTTCCTTCCTTCCTTCCTTCCTTTCCTCCCTCCCTCCCTCCCCCCCCCCGCCATCTCTCCTTCCTTTCCCTCTCCCTCCCTCTTTTCCCTTTCCCTCTCCTCTTTCCCCCTTCTCTCTCTTCTCTCTTTTGAGAAAGGCTTCACTGTGTAGTCCATGCTGGCCTGGAGCCTACTATGTAGCCTAGGCTAGCCTCAAACTTGTGGCAGTCCTCCTGCCTCAGCTTCTCCAGTGCTGAGATTACAGGAGTACAAATACTATAACTGGCACTCCCTTTAAAAATAAATCTTGTTTGAGAGGAGAGCTCCATCTGTGTAGCTGCTGCTTGTCAGCTTGTGTCTAGAGAAGAGCAGCCTTGGGTGACCATGGTCCAACTGTAAGGAGATGCCACACCCAGGTCCTGGGGTCTGAAATGTTAAGCAGAGACCCAGCAAAGGCTGACAGATCAGCAGAACATGGATAACTGACATTACAGTGAGGAATGAATGCTTGTGGTCATTAAAAAAATCTTTATTTTAAAATTTTAACTATTTTGTGTGGGGGGAGGGAGGGAGGGACGTGCATGTATGGTGCCTGTAGAAGTCTTCTACCCATGTGGGTCCCAGATATTGAACTCAGGTCATCAGTTTTGTGAGCCATCTCCCTGGCCCCTGTTTGCTTGCTTGTTTGTTTTGAGACAAGGTCTTACTATGTAGCCCAGCCTGGCCTGGAATTCACAATCTTCCTCTTGCCTCTAGTGCTGTGCTTATAGGCTTTACCATCATGTCCAGGCATCACTTCAATTTATCCATGAGAAAACAGAGGCCCAGAGAGGACAAAGGACTTTTTCCCATCTTCTGGGCTTGTCAGTGGCAGAGCTGGGATTAGAACCAGGGTTTTCAGTAGGAAAAGACAATCAAGGCAGTAAAGATGAAAAACTTAAGGAGACTCACTCTTGGGGTCACACAAGTATGATGGGCACTTTCCCTGATTCACCCTCAGCTCAGCAGAGAGAGAACTCTAGGGTCCTGCTGTCCACGAAGGAGACAGCATTCTAACTTGGAGGTTCTGGGTAAGGGGACCCTCAGGGGGAGCTTCCCAGTACTGCTGCCTCAGGGAGAAGCCAGGTACCCTGTGTGCACCGAGCTGGGCCCGTCCAGGCAGGGTGCAGGGCTCCTCATCTGGACTCTCCTTAGCTAATTGCTGAGGGCTGCAGCATTTCTGAGTCTCAACTTCTTGCTTCCCCTTCATAAAAATAGGCAAGCTCCAGCCAGTCCTGTCTGGTTGGTTCTGCACTTGCGGAGTCAGACATGCAGACTTCCTCCTTTTCTAAGCTTCCAGGCCAGTGTCTGCTTCCTTCATGGAGAACTGCTTATTGGGTATGATTGTGTGCACTGTCTTCCCAGCGCTTGAGAGGTAGAGGAAGGAGGACGGAAGACGGAGGATGCAGAGAGAAATCAGGCCTACCTGGACTATATAAAGGACCACATCTCACCCCTCCCTGAAAGATGGAGGCAGGGAGACAGAGACACACGGAGAGACACAGATACAGGGGATGGAGAGAGACAGAAAGAGACAAAGAGAAAAGGCACACACACACACACACACACACACACACACACACACACACAGAGAGAGCCAGGCAAACAGAATTAGAGACAGAAACAGAGAGAAACAAAGAGAAGACAGAGGAAGAGAAGGAGAGACAGTCACAGAGAGATAGAGAAGGCAGACAGCTATGGAGAGATAGCAAGAGAAGGAGAAAGACAGGAGACAGACAGACAGACAGACACACACGGGGGCGGGGGGGAAGGATACAGAGAGATCCTGAGCCACTCTGTGGCCCTCTTCAGCTGTTACACCCTTTTCTACGTGGACCCTTCTCTCTCTTACTATGAACTGGAGCATTTCCTACCATGCAGCCACAGGGATTTGCTAAACATAAACCAGCTAAGAAAACAACAGCTATAAAGTGTTCTGGAAAGGAAGAAGTAAAGCTGTTTTTCTTTGCAAACAACATGTTGATGTATTGTAGATAGAAACCTTAAAAAAAAAAAATCCGTGGGGGCTGGAGAGATGGCTCAGCGGTTAAGAGCACTGACTGCTCTTGCAGAGGACCCGGGTTTGATTCCCAGGACCCACATGGCGGCTACGAACCATCCTTAACTCCAGTTCCAGGGACTCCAATGCCCTCTTCTTGCCTCCTCGGCATTGCATGACACGGGTTCACACATATATATGCAGGCAATACACTCATACACATAAAATAAAAATAATAAATAAAATATATTTAAAAATCTGTAACAGCCTATTATAACTTATTAATGAGAAATTTTTATTTTTTAAATTATTTTTATTTTATGTGTATGTGTATATTGCCTGCATGTAGGTAAGTGCACCCGTGTCATGCAATGACCACAGAAGACAGAAGAGTCTGTTGGATCCCCTGGAACTGAAGTTATGGACAGTTGTTAGCTGCCATGTGGGTGCCGGGATTTGAACCCCGGTCTTCTGCAAGAACAGTCAGTGTTCTTAACGACTGAGCCATCTCTCCAGACCAATGAGCAATTTTTAAAAAGATCTATTTATTTCTATTTATTTATGTGCATGTGTGTGTCTGAGTGCATGTATGCCACATGTGGTGTGAGTGTCCTCAGATGCAAGAACAGGGTGTTGAATCCCCTGGAGCTGAGGTTACATATGGTTGTTAGCTGCCCAGTATGGGTGCTGGGAACCCAACCCCAGGTCCTTTAGAAGAACAGCAAGTGTTCTTAACTGCTGAATCATCTCTTCAGCCCCTGAGCTTAGCAATTTTGTGGGTTATGTGGTATTTATATAAATCAATTGTATTTCTATATGCTTGCAATAAACATCCTCAAAATGATTATTCTTTTTTTTTTTTTTTTTTTTTGGTCTTCCCATACTCCTGCAGCTGAGGGCTGAACCCTGGGCCTTGTGCTTGCTAGGAAGTACTCTGTCACTGAACTAAATCCCCACTCCAACACTCTCAAAATGATTTTAAGAAGATAATTTCTTGGTGGGTGTGGTGGCACACGCCGTGCACTAGGGAGGCAGAGGCAGGCGGATCTCTATGAGATCAAGGACAGTCTGGTCTACATAGCAAGTTCCAGGCCAGCTGGAGCTACAGGGAAACCCTGTCTTAAAAAGACGAAAAAAAAAAAAAAAAAAAAAAAGGAAAGAAAGAAAGAAAGAAAAAAAAATTTCTTTTATTACAGCATCCATAAGAATAAAATATTTAAGAATAAAATTAAAGAAAGTAAAAAACTTAAACTATGAAAACTGGAAAATGTTGTTGAAAGAAATTAAAGATCTAAATAAATGGAAAAGGCCAGGCCTAGTAATACAGGCCTGTCATCCCTGCTACTGGGGAGGCTGAGGTAGGAGGATTCCCAAATTCCAGGCTGGCCTGGGACACTTAGTGAAATCTTGTTTCAAAATAAAAAGTGAAAAATGGGCCAGGTGTGGTTGTGCACACTGTTAATCCCAACACTTAGGAGGCAGAGGCACAGAGATTTCTGTTTGAGGCCAGTCTGGCCTACATGGCAAGTTCCAGGTCAGCCAGGGCTACACAGTGAGATACTGTGTTAAAAAACAAAAACAAAAACAAAAACTTTAATGTTGTCTCACCATAACACAGAAAGCATGAACTTTTATTAATCCCATATGATAGATTGATCTTGCACCATATCCACATGAGGTTGGAAAACCATGCCGTTTTCTGGAATTTAAGGTATTACATTATTTCATCAATCATTTGTTTACAAAAAAGAAAAACTAAAAAATAAAAATGTGAACACTTCAGTTGTTAACACCTGTACCTTGGTTGAAAAAAAAAATTTTAAAGTGACTCAGTGGTAGAACACTTGCCTACCTTGTGGGAAGTTCTAGATTCAATCCCCAGCACCACACATACACAAAGTACAAGACCTTGGACTTGACCACTGATGGCTTAACATGAAAAGTCCAAGCAGGGGGCTGGAGAGACGGCTCAATGGTTAAAAATACTGGCTTCAGGGGCCAGAGAGATGGGTCAGTGGTTAAGAGCATTGGTGACTCTTGAAGAGGACTCAGGTTTGATCCTCAGCATTCACATGGCAGCTAGCAACCATCCAGAACTCCAGTTCCAGGGGAATTCAACACCCTCTTCTGACCTCCTCAGGCACTGCAAGACATGGATGCACTTATATACATTCAGGTAATACACGCATACACATAAAAAAAAAAAGTATTTTTTAAAAAGAACACTGGCTGCTCTTGCAGAGGACCTGGGTTTGGTTCCCAGCACCCACATGGTGGCTAACAACTGTCTCTAACTTCAGTTCCAGGGAATCTGACTCCCTCTTCTGGCCTCTACAGGCATTACATGCATGGGTGTGCTTGCATGCAGGTAAAACATTCATACACATAAATTTTTTTTTTAAATGCAACAACAAAAAAAATAGATAAACTGAATTTGATCAACATT